TTTTTTTTTTGATAACCTGCATGTAAACATCCAAATAGTTTTAGCTTAACTCTTGCTACAGTTTGCTTCCCTGTGATCAGTTGGTTTCTCTTTTGAAAAATTTGAAAATGTTTATTTTTTTTGCATATAATTGTACAGATCAAATAGAAGCTTTGATGTACAGGCACAGACCAATTCCAGCAGCAAGTTACCTTCTGTAAAAGTACCACACTCAAATGCATTCTTAGATCTTAGTGGAGATTTCACTGCAGGTACAATGTACTCAATGTTTCCTGAATTTTCTGCTTTATTGTTTTTTATTGTGTATACCAGTATGATGCAATTTGCTGTGTACATTTAATTAGATAGATCTACAGAAAAAAAATAATTAAAATCGATTCGGCATGTTTCAGATCTATATGTTACGAATGAGGACAATAACGGTGAAGTCTGGATAAATAAAGTAAGTGTGCACTGAGATCTGTTCACTAATAATAAAAATGTCGAGAATTCTTCCATCATGTTGAAAAATTTCTTGTTATATTNGATTTATCAAAATCAGCACTAATCATGCCTGTACATGTGTAGAGCATATGAATGTTCCATGAATTGTTCATATTCATATTTACATGTAGGCTTACGACCGTTCTTTGTGTTTAATTTGTGCAGCCGGAGAGAAAACACGTGTGGACTTCTGTTATACCGAATTCCCAAGTAATTGTGATTCCTTATCCACCGGATAATCCTTCAAGGTAACAAGCATATTCTGAAACTTATGAAAGTTTATTAAAGATACCAAGTAACAGATGACAAGATATCATCCCACGTATGCACAGAACGGGGACAGTTTTTTTAAACAATCATCTGGGTTTATAGCTCAACCTCACTAAGAAGTTTCAAAACTAAAATAGAAAATTACGCGAACAACCGTGTCCAGATGAATGGATATTTAGAATGTTACGTTGATGAGAGTTACTCACTTCCAAGAACTCATGTTCACGAACCACTAAATTTCATCAGAACTAGCATTGAAAGAAAAGTGTGGCGCTCAGGAAGGAGTATCCAAAGCTGATGTCATTAAACGTTGTTGAGGTAGCTCTCCAACACTCGCCACTCGCCATCTTTCTTTCATCCTACGGTGCTCCAACGCCGTAGAAAAACATTCTATTATCTTATATATGATCCATGTATGTTTCAGTTGGAAAGCTAAGCTGTTGGTAACGCCCAGCAAGCTGGTGTTATTGACAGGTGCCAGTCTTTTGGGCATATGTGTCTTCATCGGTCTGATCATCTTGTTGTTGCATCTCAAAGAAAAGGTGAGTAGATGCTATGTTGGGGTGCGTTAGTGTAGTATAGGTGATTCTCAACACGGATGTGTCCCTAACCCTAAGATGAATGATCAGTAGCGTGAAACTGAGAACTAGAGGGGTGGGAGGTGGGAGGTGAGGATGAGGAAAAAGCAAAGGAAACCACTTTCGTCTAATAATGTGAATCCATAAATCATTTCAATCGTAACAGGCACGAGTAGGCAGTGTGGCGATGTGACGGCCTGTCAAATGATTAAGTAATTTAACTCTTTTCCAAGCACTACCAAGTAATAAATTGTGGTTTTGCACAAGTTGGAATACGAACGCCTTTTATAGATATCGATTACACCAGATTAATTTCTCTCATTGCCCGAGAACTGTAAGCCAGCTTAAGACGCTTTTAACATTTTGTTTCAGAGAGAAGACCAAAAAGAGAAACGTCAAGATGCTCACAAGTTTCATTTTGATGCCATGTGAAGTAATTACTCGTATTACTCGTGTTCAATGATCAGTTTTGTCCTGAAGCCGTAATTTCGTAAAGTACTTAAAAGATCAACAGTTGATCTTCAAGACCCACCGTTTATTTTAACATGGTTTGTACTGAAATATAACAAGGGAACCTAGTTGTTGTAATTTTAAAACATGTCTCGGAGAATGCTGTATTTAATAATAATAACTAATAATAATAACTTTATTTAAAGAGGGAAACACTTTACAGTCCTGGACTGAGAAACCTGTGGCTCTCACTTACATTTAGTGGAGTGTAAATTACAATACAGCATCGTTCTTCGCTGTATGTTCAGATCAACCAGTTCGCAGTCTCTCTTAATTGTCGTAGAGTGAGTAAAATATTTTGTATGGAACTTCTGTACCGCAATTGCACGTGAACCACACATATTGATAGGTAATAATTAGTTCAAATAAAGCGCCTAGTAAGCATCCTAGCGCCGTGGGCGGTTTTGAAAATCTCCAATATGTGGTACAATCAAACCTGTATTAGGCGGACACCCTTATGACCCGTGCTAGTGTCCGCTTAATACAGGGTGTCCGTTGAAGACAGGTTCCCTTAGAATTCGTCTTAAAAGGGTCATATTAACATTCGTCAGTATTAAAAGGCCTTGAAAGGGTCAAATAGCATTCTCGTGAACCGTTGAGAACTCTGAAATACCGTATTTCCATAAACAATGACAAGTATATGAGGTAAAGCGATTTAAAGTATATATGAAATAATTCATATTTGAACTGCGGTAGTAGATGAAAGTGAAGTATGATCATCGCAGTAAATTTTCCAATTTAAGCAACTGGAAAGAAGAAGCCTGAAAAAAAAATAATAAGGGCTTCAACGGGATTCGAACCCGTGACCTCCGCGATACCGGTGCGATGCTCTACCAACTGAGCTATGAAGCCACACATTGGGAGCGAGGTCAATTAATTGAGTTCATATCTTCCCGTGAG